TTTTCCTCTATTCCCTTTAGCCCATAGCTACTGCCCTGTGTTTTCACCTATCTTCATCATTCTTGCCACTCTCCATCTTCTTGTATATTTCCCTCCCCCTTTTTGTATATTGCTCTCCCTATCACCAAAGCTAACATGTGTCTACCCTCTGCTACCCTCTAACTAGTGACTTACTCTCTCTTCTTTTCCACCACTGGTAACCATCAAAAAATGTTTTTGTTTTGTTTTGTTTTAGTATACACACATTTTCTTAACTTTGTACAATAATGGTATCATACAATATTTGTCCTTTTGTGATTGACTAATTTCACTCAGCATAATGTCCTCCAGGTTCATTCATGTTATGGAGTGTTTCAGATTCATTGTTATTCTTCAGCATTGCATAGTATTCTATTGTGTGTATGTACCAATGTTTGTTTATCCATTTTTCCCTTGATGGGCATTTAAACTGTCTCTGTCATTCTTACACTGTGAATAGTGCTGTGATAAACATTGGTGTGCATGTATCTACTTATGTCCTGGTTTGTATTTCTTGTGTATATATACCAAGTAGAGGAATATCTGGGTCATAAGGTATTTCTATTTCCAACTTTTGGAGGAAGTGCCACTCCGTTTTCCAGAGTGGTTGAACCATTTTACAGTTCCACCCGAGGGTCCCAGTCTCTCCACACTCTCAGCAGCATTTGTTGTTTTCTGTTTTGTTTTGTTTTAACTTCTCTATTAATACTGGTATGGTGCTATAGAGTAACCACCAGACCAGACAGTGAGGTGGTCTGTTGTGCAGGGCTGCTATGAGTCAGAACCGACTCGAAGGCACTTAACAACAACATTAGTGCTGGTATCAGATGATATCTCATTGTTGCTTTGACTTGCATCTTTCACTGTGGATTAACGTGCTGGACAGCAAAGTTATTTGAGCTGCAAGGTTGGTGATTCAAGCTCACTAGCCGTTCCTTGGAAACCCTAAACAGGGTCACTGTGGGTTGGAACCCACTCAACAGCACTTAACAGCAACAACAATGGCTAATGATCAAGAACATGTCTTCATATGTTTGTTGGCTGCCTGAATGCCTTCCTTGGTGAAGTGTCCATTCATGTCCAGTGTCCATTTTAAAACTTGGGTTGTTAGTCTTTATCTTGTAGAAATGTTGTAGTTTTCTATAAATTTTCAATATTACTCCCTTGTCTGATATTCTTTGCAAAAAATTATTTCCCAGTCTGTGGGCTTCATTTTTCCTTTTTTTGCAAAATCTTTTGACGCACATAGTGTCTAATTTTTAGGTGGTTGCAGTCATCTGTGTTGTCTTCTACTGTTTGTGTCCACTACTTGTCTGTCAGTTTGTCATACTGTGGTGACTTGCATGTTATGTGATGCAAGAAGCTATGCTACTGATACTTTAAATATCAGCAGGGTACATCCATGGTGGGTAGATTTCATTCAAGCTTCCAGACTAAGACAGACTAAGAAGAAGGAGAGACGGACGACTTCTGAATGTTTACCATCTTTTGGCCATAGTTGTGGGATGACCTTATGAATAGAAGTGGACCACTGTCAGCACCAGAATATTGAATATTGAAACATGCAGAATAACACCAGAATACTGTCAGATACAGTGCTGGAAGATGAGCCTATGACTGGGGAAGAGCTACCTCCTCAAATTACAGTTGACTATGATGAGGTGAATGGAGTAAGGTTTTGGAATCTTTACTTGATGATGGGGAACAACTTAAAATGAGGAGAAACAGCTTTAAATATCCATTAATAATTGGGATCTGAAATGTACACAGTATGAATCTAGAAAAATTGGAAGTTGTCAAAAATGAAATAGGATGCATAAAGATTTATATCCTGGTATTAGTGAACCAAAATGGAGTGGCATTGGCTGTTTTGAATTTGACAATCATATGGTTTACTATGCTAGGAATGACAAATTCAAGAGGAATGGAG